CTTCCTAGATACGGGTTAGTGGAGTGGATAGACTCAGATCGGGGAACTCATTTCATTTTCAAGGTTCTTCAATTTTTGGTACAAGCCTTGGATATTAACTGGGATTTTCATACTCCCTGGCACCCTCCTTTCTCTGGCAAAGTAGAAAGAATGAACCAAGAAATTAAAAGACAGCTCACTAAACTAACCTTAGAGACTCAATTACCTTGGACCCGATGTTTACCCCTGGCACTCCTTAGAATCAGAACAAAACCCTGGAGGGATATTGGATTATCCCCATATGAGCTTCTTTGTGGACATCCATATCCTGGGGGAAGTGGAAAAGGAGAAAATTGGGACCCTATGTTCAATTATAAGGATAAATTTTTAAGGAATTATGTGCACTGTCTGGTGAAGCATTTAAATGTGTTACAGCATAAAGGGCTGATTGCCCAGATGCCACCTTTGGGGTTCCCAGTTCACAAATTCCAGCCTAGTGATTGGGTGCTGATCTGGACTTGGAAGGAAGAAAAGCTCACTCCATCTTGGGAAGGACCCTTCTAAGTCCTGCTGACCTCATAAACAGTGGTTCGGACCAAAGAACGCGGCTGGACGCACCACACACGAGTGAAGGGACCGGTAACTCCCCCTGCTGAATGGACAGTCGATTCCACAGACCCAGGGGAATTGAAGTTATGCCTCCACAACAGCCGCACACTGGTTGGATTCATGAGCCCTAAACCCCTACCCTTATCAATTAGAATTCTTATCCTCTTAAGTGTGTTAATTCCTGTTCTACTTGTAACCATATTGTTGATTGGAATTTTTGCTTGTGTTTCTACTTCTTTACATAATCATTTTACTTGTAATCAGAGTGTGATACCATGGGGATTTCCTTGATGCTATTTCTGATCTGTTCTTTAACCTCCGCACAATTTGCTCCTGTATCCTGGTCAGCAGAGAAAAATATGTTTGAACAATTGATGGAAACTGTAGCTCAGAATTTTAACTTTTGACTAACTGTTGGATTTGTGGTGGACCCCAGAGACTATCCCAATGGCCATGCGTCCTTGTTCCTCTGAAACCAGAATGGCTCCTTAGCAATAAATCTGTAGTAAATAGTGAGACAGGTTTTGGGGAGGATTGGGAGGAACATTCCTGTCGGCTTACTGAGGAAAGGAAAGGAGTATTCTGCCTGAACCAAACAGAAGGGAAAATTGTATTAGGGGAAAGTCATTGCGATTGGACCCTTACAGGAATTAAGGGAGCAGAAATATATAATTGTACTAAGGTCCAACAAGAATGGAATAGCAAGGGCACAAAGGACGTAGCAGTCCTCCTAAAAGATCATAAAAAGGCTGAACTTTGGGAAAAAGCAACTTGATGCCAGGGGGTGAAAGGAATTCTACAGGTCCCCTATATAAATTGGGGATGGACCAACGAAACTGGGGAAAGGGACTACCTCTCATATTATTGGGATAAAGTGAACTGGACAGGAGATCTCATCACAACAAACTATGAATGGGAGGAGAATGTAGCCCTGTGGAAATGTCAGTATAAGGATAATAACTTAGGAGGTGGACCTCTAGGACCCTATAATATGTACTACTACCCAGCAGCAGGGAATCATTCCAAAATACACTGGGGATGGTGTGAGGAGTCGGCATCTAAACTACCAGCTTCGAAAGGGCACTATTGGATTTGCGGCCCCACTGCCTACACTCACCTCCCTTTTGATTGGGCTGGAGTTTGTTATATTGGATTAGTCCGCCCCAAATTCTTTTTCCTTCCAGGAAGAGAGGGAGGCCATCTTGGAATAAGATTATATGATAGCCTCAGTCAAGATTGGCTAAGAAGGTCCCTAGACGCCTCTATTGTCAGCAAATGGGTGGGGCAATGTGTGGCTCCCAGAGAGAATCATCCAAACTTATGGACCAGCTACTTGGGCTCAAGATGGGAGTTGGGGATATAGGACCCCAATCTATATCCTTAACAGATGAGTTAGGCTCCAGGCAGTGGTAGAGATCATTACTAACCAGACTTTGAAAGCTCTGGATCTGTTAGCAGATCAGGCTACCCAAACCAGAGAAGTGGTCCTCCAACACAGATCAGTTTTAGATTACCTATTGGCTGAGGAAGGTGGAGTATCTACCCACATGTTGTGTAAAAATTGGTGATAATGGGGCAGTGGTGAAAGGAATTACTAAAGACATTAGGAAATTGGCTCATGTTCCAGTTCAGACTTGGTCCTCTCCCTTTAATACCTCCTGGTGGTCTTGGTTTGGAAGAAACAAATCTTATGGTTTCTCCTGATGGCTATCAGTGGAGTTGTTCTTCTTCCCATATGTCTCCCATGGATGATGCAGTTAATCACTAAATTAGCACAGGATGCATTGTCTAAGACGATTAGATTAGAAAAGAAAGCCGAAGGGTCAGTTCAACTGATGATCTTAAGGAAGCAGGGATGGACCCCAGTATAGCAGGTAGACAGGACTGGGCCAGAAGGATCAGAACTAAGAGATGAAATAGTGGAGGGAAGACACCAAAACTGGTGTGAGAGGTCTTCAATAAACAAATAAGAGGACGGATTGAGTGAGATTGGTGAAGACCCCTCATAAAATCTAAACTCAAATAAGTAAAATAAGGTAAAGACCCCTAATAATAATATATGTGTACCCAGGTCAGGAAGCTTGTAAGTCGCCCGGATAAATATGTTCAAATTGTTGCAAAAATAAGTATAACTACAAATTGTTCCAGGATCTAAAATGAAACAGGATGTACTAAGAGGATACTTGAAGGAGGGAAAGGCAGGTGAAAACTATGTAATGATTCTGTAATTTCCACTGCTGTTGCTGAGGTAGCTTTTTCGTGTTTAGACTGTGCCCTCTGAATAAGCGTAAGAGGTAGGGGGTTGCAGTTAGAACCTCTAAAAATGCTTGCTTGGCTGACACCACCTGCGGTGTTGCATCGAACTGCCTTTTGGTGTGAGTCACTCTTTCTCGAGATCAAAATAAAAATCCTTTCTACTTTCTACCTAGAGAAGCCTCTGAATTAATTTGGGTAAGGGTCATCGCTGTCCCACACATCTCTCTCTCCCCCCTTCCTATCCCACACATATGACACTCCTAATTCTGTGCCTGGAATGTTCTCCCTCCTCATCCCTTTCCCCAACTTCCTTCAAGAAGGCTCAGGTCCCTTCTTTTGACCAAGGCTTTCTCACACTCCTCAGCTGCTAGTAATTTCCTCTTTGAGGGGGTTTTTGTTGTTGTTCCTTTGTATTCAGTCATATCTGACTATTCATGACCCCATTTTCGGTTTTCTGCTTTCCGGAGTGGTTGTATGACTCCACAGATGGACTGACATTTTAATATGTCAAGCCCCATCTCTTCCATGAAGCCTTTCAGGAGTTCCTTGTAGGCACAGCGGGCAGAGCACTGGTTCTGGAGTCAGAAGCTCTCGGTCCGAGGATCCTGCCTCTATTACCTGGGTGATCTTGAGCAAAACTTTCTGAGCCTCAGTTTCTTCACCTTCAGCTTCTAATGAAGGGGTTAGACTTGACGGGCTGTGGGTGCCTTCCAGGTCTAAATCTAGACTCTTCCAACTCATCTGTCTCCTATTGAATTCTCCTGTACTTTCAGTTTGTGTGTGTCTGTATAAAAACACTTCCTCATATCCAAATTGTTTTATGTATGTATGCACTAGTTTTCCTTCCCCATCTAAATTGCAGGTTGCTTGAGGGCAATGAGGACACAAACGCCACTCCCTTCTCCCTGCCCCCTCTGCCTCCCTGCTGCTTTCTATCTACCTGCTCCCCTTTCTGCCTGGTACAAGTCTCACATGCTCCTGCATCCTTTCCCCTCGCCACCCCCCACTGAAGCCAGCGTTATGCCCCAGGGTGAAATTTAGAGGGGATTGAGCCTATTTGTAGAAGTACAGAAGCAATGGGAGTAGCACCTAGCTAACCTCTGCCTCAATTAGAGAGGAAAGGTGCCAGATGACCAGCTTGCATCACACCTATCCCCACCTCAACCAGAGAGCAGATTCCCTGCTAGCAGCCTCAATAAGTTAGCAGTCTCATTAAGCTCTGGGGTCTTTGCCCTGGAAGACTGACATTCTAGGGTCTTAGTCTCCCCATCACAGAACAGTCAGTGCTACCGTTCCCACAGATCCCATTGTTCCAAAACCTTCCCTTTAGTACCCACTTCCTCAACTGAATCTGTCCTAAAAACTGATTTGACGGCATATTTGGGTGCTGCTTGCCCCATCCCCCAAACTGCTAGTTAAGGCTCTGCACTTCTAACACTGACTCTGCTCCCTAATCTTTGCAGGTGACATAAGGGTACATAAGAAGGTATGATATTTTCAGTTGGTATGGCATTGGGCAAGTGGTTAAATTTCCCTGGGCCTCAGTTTTCTCATCTATAAAATGAAGGTGTCACTGGACACCCTCTGAGGTCCCTTCTCAATCTGGAATCCTCTGACATGAAGCCCCTGCCCTCAAGGAACTTACAAACCAGCTGGTTTCATCCAGTCACATCTGACTAGGAGACAATTCACATCAAATGCCTAAGAGTAAAAGGGATCCCACATGTCCTAGGAGCTCTGCCTAGCCCAATGGGAAGAGTTGCTGGATTTGGAGTAAGGGGGCTTGGATGTGAATTCAAGCTCTGCCACAGATTCTCTCGGCCTCAGTTTCTCTTACTGTCAAATGAGGGAGTCTGACTAGCACACTTAAAAGAAGGTTCCTTCCACATCTTTGTCTATGAATAGCTTCCTTCAAGCATAGCTCAGATGGCTCCCTGAGGCTATCGGTCTCTCACTCTGGAAATGACTTTGTATTTATGGACTTGAGTACGTGTTATATTGATCTATTGGGGGTAGAACGAACAGCATAGTACTCCACCCATTCTCATCTGACTGTCCCCAGTCACTTCCTTCTTCTTAACAGCTCCCTCCCCTTGAACTGCTGCCAGCTCAGTTTTGCTTCAGTTTCTATTTCTCTAGAAAATCCTCCCCCTTTCAAGCTCTTGGTTTAGTGAAAGCAGCAGCAACAGCAATAGCAGCAGCGGCAGCGGCAGCGGCAGCAGCAGCGGTAGCAGCAGCATGTCTTTCGGTGGTAGCCAGCCTGCCTACCAGAATCCGGTGAGTAAACTTGTGGTGGGTACCATATAGAGGAAGTGGGCTGTGCTGGAGTGGAGCAAGCTACCTCCATGCATCTGTAAGGAACCTGTTCTGGGGACGTGCACCTGGGGGTACTGGAGGAAATAGTCAGGGGAGGATGGTTTATTTTAGAGAGGACAGTGGGGTGGAGGGGAGCAGCAACCCTACTCCACAGAGAATGTCAAAAGGTCAGAAGCTTTAGATGATCCAATCCAATGGTCCATTTGGTCCAGAGATCTCTCCTTGATAGCAGTCTGACCCTGAGACACATGGTAATGATTAAATGTGCTGCAGCCTGGGGGATGAGGAATCCAGGGGAAGTGATTGGGGGTGTATGAAGGATCCAGTTATGTACCTCAGCTTTCCTCTTCTAGCCCAGAACCATCTTCAGGTTCCTTTCCTTCCGCTTTTCCACAAGGCAGTCTCTGATGTGGATGACTGTATCTCCCTATGAAACCTACAAGAATCATAAATTAGGCCTTACAATTTAGAGACCTAAAGGACCTTACAGGTGATCTGTATAGAAATGGGCTTGGACTAGACCAGTGGTTTGCTAACTCTTTGGTCTCAGAATCCCTTTACACTCTAAAAATTATTGAGGATCCCAAAGAGCTTCTGTTCATGTGGGTTATTGATCTCAATATTTACTGTATTAGAAATTAAAACTGATCAAATTTTAAAATATTTAATTTAAATCATTAATTCAAATTAATGCATTAATTTAGTAATTCCTTTTTTTTTCAAATCCTTTTCTTTTTCTTTTTTTGGCTAGGCAATGGGGTTAAGTGACTTGCCCAGGGTCACACAGGTAGTAAGTGATGTATGTCTGACACTGGATTTGAACTCAGGTCCTCCTGACTCCAGGGCTGGTGCTCTATCCACTGCGCCACCTAGCTGCCCCAGTAATTCCTTTTAAGAAGACAATAAAAACCCATTACCTGCTAACATAATATATTTTAATGAAAAATAACTATCTTTTCCAAAACAAGAAAAATGAGAAGTGAAACTGTTTTTACATATTTTTGAAAGTCTCTTTAATGTCTGGCTTAGTAGAAGCCAGTTGGATTCTTACATTTGCTTCTACAATCAATCTGTTATGATGTATTGTTTTGGTTGAAGTATATGAAGAAAATCCAGCCTCACACAGATATGAAGTTAGAAAAGGGAGGAACACTTTAATAGGGTGATAACATCTTAGTATTATTATGAAAATAATTTTGACCTCACAGCCCCCCTGAAGGATCTTAGGAACTGCTTCCCCCTTTTCCCTACCCAAGGGTCCTCATACCATGTTTTGAGAACCATTTGATTAAAAAAAAAAAAGAATAGAAGAAGATGCATTTGGGGCAGCTAGGTGGGGCAGTGGATAGAGCTCTGACCTTGGAGTCAGGAGGACCTGAGTTCAAATCCAGCTTCAGACACTTAACACTTACTAGCTTTGTGACCCTGGGCAAGTCACTTAACCCCAATTGCCTCACCAAAAAAAAAAAAAAAAGAATAGAGAACCATTTGATTAGATAAACTCTAAGGTCTCTCCTAGTTATAAATCTATGGTCTAGGCTAAGTTCTCTCATTTTTACAAATGAGGAAACCAAGGCCCAGAGGAGCTAATAGCATAGTCCAAGGTCACATCCAGATGTAGCTGAGGGTATGGAGAGGAGATAGGAAAAAGGTAGGAGATCATAGATTTAGAACTGGAAGGATCCTTAGAAGCTGCCTAATCCAATTCTCTCATTTTCCAGATATAGAAACCGAGTGGCACAAAGGTTATGGAATTTACTCCAAGTCACACAGGTAGTAAGTGACAAAAGCAAGATTTGAACCCAGGTCCTCTGACTACAAAACTAGTGTGTTTTTTTTGGGGGGGGGGCTAGGCAATGGGGTTAAGTGACTTGCCCAGGGTCACTAGTAAGTGTTACATGTCTCATTTGAGTCAGATTTGAACTCAGGTCTCCTGACTCCAGGGCTGGTGCTCTATCCACTGTGCTACCTAGCTGTCCCACTATTGCTCTTTTTGATCCATTCCAAAATCCGTACCTTTGAGGCAAATGTGCATCTGTCACCAGAGGGCTTGGAAACTATACTCTGAGAAAACTGGCTAGACAGGAAACCTGGAGAGTGAGGCAGGTAGGTAGTACAATGAAGAGAGTACTGGGCCTAAAGTGAGGGAGACCTGCGTTCAAATTCTGCCTCAGATACTTACTAGCTGTGTGACTCTGGACCAGTCACTTAACCTGTCAAGCCTCACTTTCCTCAACAATAAAATGGGGATAATAATAGCACCTACCTACCAGGATTGCTGTGAGGGTCAACTGGGAGAATATTTGTATAAGTAATATAAATTTAACATAATATATCATACAATATTGTATATAATATATAATTCTGTTACAATAATATAATATAATATAAATAATATAAGTTCCTTGTGTTTAATAATGTGTTTGTCTTTCCCCTTCCCTCTTCTATCCCTTTTCCCCAGTCCCACAGTCTTCAAGTTATTAACCCTCTCCAGGCCTCAGTTTCCTCATCTATTCAGGGATTAGACTAGATGCTAAATTAAGGCCCTTCCAGCCCTAAGAATTGTGATTCTCTGTATCTCAGCTCCTCCCACAGTCTGGGTAGGTCAGTCGCATCTCTGTCTCAGCCTGGTTTCAGTGTTGTTTTGTACTGGACTGATTCTCAGTTAAAGAAATTCTCTATTTCCTTCCAGGAAATGTTAGCTTAAGTTCACGTAAGGGAATCTAGTCCTACAGGGCTGGAACACAGGCAAATTGCCAAGAAGGGTTGATGCTTTCATACACCCTAGATGCCGCCCCAGCTTTGTATGCTAAACACACACTGCTTTTCTGCCCTTCCAGTTCCAGTTGGGATACTACCAGGCCATGTGGTGAGAGCATCTCACATTAAGGAGATAAGGGAAGAAAAAAATAAGAAGGGATGTTGGCAGCACCCAGTGGTGATCTAAGGCCTGAAAAGCAGTCACTGGACCAGGAAGGATTTGCATATTGGGTCTGAATTTTCTTTATGTGGACTGTGCTCTGACCCCATCCCCAAGACTGTGGCTGCTGTCCCTCCTGAGACACTCGCTTACTTTGTAGCTGTTACATCAAAGTCACAGTTGGAAAGCTTCAAACATAAACAAGTTCCCACAAGACCACAAGGCCAGACTTTCTCATGGAGAAAATGGAATAAGCACATCTGGGAAGGTTTGGCCTTGGCCCCTGATGAGATGGGGATCGTGTGGTATTGCAAAACCCAAAAATTTTAGGACAGACGAGAGATGCTAGGATCAAAATACAATTCTGAAACGGAGTCAGGGATGATCAGGGTCACTCAGTTGGTAAATGTCAGAGGCTAGATTTGAACTCAGAAAGATAAGTGTTCCAGACTCCAGGCACAGTGCTGTGTGCACTATGGTGCTACCTAGCTGCTCCAAGAGCCCCTGTATGAAGGAGTAAGTAAAAAAAAAATCTATGCTAGGTAATATAAGATAATCTCCAAAATGCCTCCCATTTCCAGAGCCTGCAAGAACTGGGGGCATCTGAGGTGTCTGAGAGCCTCCACCTGCCCCATCCAGCCCTTTGTGGGCAGAAGGCAAGGAAAACAAGCTCAGGAGATACAAACAAGATACTTTTGTTTCTCCTGTGCCACCTCCACCCAGGAAACCAGCTGATGTCGTTCAGGTTAAGCTCTAACTAACCACTCTCAAGAGTACTTGTAGTCTAAACATGGTCTCCAGTCACAGAGTGAAAGGCTTTCCTGCCTGTTAGTGGAATCTCAGGGCTCAGAAAACAGGTGGAGGAAATATTTGGAGGGATGGGTGGGTCTTTCCAGAGCCCCTGATATCATGCCATGACTTGCAAGTGAAATGGATTTAAGTGAGGCAGGGCTATGCAAAGTCACCAGCCTCACTTTCTCCTCCAGAGCCATATGGATCCAGTGGTAAGATATAGATCAGGACAACTGGAGATGGCCCCCAAGTGGTAGAATAAGGATTAGGTAGAACAAGGTGTGGCAAACACTCCCCTCTCCCATATATATACGGATTTGAGAATAATCTTCTCTAGATGAGGAACGAATGGCAGGCCTGAAGTCAGGAAGACCTGGGTTCAAATCTGGCCTCTGACATTTACTAGCTATGTGACCCCGGACAAGTCACCTAACCTTGTTTTCCTCAGTTTCCCGAGCGGGGTCACAGAGAGTCAAAGATGACTGAAAAATGATTGATATCTCTTCTGACTCTAGTAAATTTCTTTTTTTGCATTATTTATTTAATTATTTTGATTTAAAACAGGAGTAAAATGAAACTATTCACTCATACAAACATACAGTAGAAAATGGTAAGAGAATTTTATAAGTTCTCTTGTTGAGAGATGGAAATTCATTTTTAAATTTTTAGTCACCTGTCCTAACCTAATGAAAAAGAAGAGCTAGTTATGATATGAAATATTTACCTTTCTACTGACTAGTGACAAGCATGAACTTAAATGATAAAAGTACTTGAAGTTCAGTTGGATATATTGCTTCATTTTTTTCTGTTTCATTTTTGTCTGCCTTTCCTTCTTTCTTTATTTGCAAGGCAATTGGGGTTAAGTGACTTGCTCAGGGTCACACAGCTAGAAAGTGTCAAATGTCTGGTCTGAGATTGGATTTGAGCTCAGGTCCTCCTGACTCCAGAGCTGGTGCCCTATCTACTGCACCACCTAACTGCCTCCTAGTTGCTTCATTTTTAACAAACTAGATAAGTTTATATACTTGGTTTATATAATTATATATACTTAATTTATATATTAGTTATAATATATTTATATAATAATTAGTTTACATAATATATGCATATATGTATATACACATGTATATATTATATAAACTAGCCTTCATAAGGAAAGAATCCTTCCAGATGTGATATTCTTCTACCACTAGCTACTCTCTCACAGAAACTCCACTGAATGACATTTTTACCAACCAGTTCATTTGAAAATCTACCAGATAGAAGAATTGTTACCTGTGCAGAGGATAAGTTTAAATTGGAAAACAGTCTTAATACTGCAATGAGTTTGTTTCTGTAGAATGTTTGCGATGGTCTGTGGTGAGTTTAAGATGACTTAGAAATGTGCAGGCCCAGAGCTCATGGGTTTCAGGCAGTCTGATATCTGTGTTGCAAGAATGCAGAAGTTAGGAACATTTCAATCACAAGATTACGTGGCTGATGAGGTACAATTATAGGGTGACAGGGGCACAAGGGAGCTACTCAGGTGGAGTGTACATAACACAAATAAGAGCATGTACAGGGGTCTGGACATCAGGTGGAATCAGTTTTTGTCATGTTGTAAATCAGTTGGAAATCTGTGTTTAGTAAGAATCTTAAGAAGAGGTCTGTGATTCGAGTAAGTTTCCTACCACTCTAGCAAAGCAACGCTTATTCTGGAAGAGCAGTTCTCAAACTTTTTGGTCGTAGGATCCCTTTATACTCTTATTTTTTTTTTCTTTTAGTGAGGCAATTGGGCTTAAGTGACTTGCCCAGGGTCCCACAGCTAGTAAGTGTCGTGTGTCTGAGGCCAGATTTGAGCTCTATCCACTGCGCCACCTAGCTGTCCCATCCCTTTATACTCTTAAAAATTATTGAGGACTCCCTGAACAGTTTTTGTTCATGTGGGTTATGACAATCAATGTTTATTATTAGAAATGAGAAATTATTAGAAATTATCATTATAGAAATTGAAACATCTTAGTATTATGGTAAAAATAATTTTGTCCTCACGTACTCCCTGAAAGGGACTGCTAGGGGTTCCCAAACCGCATTTTGAGAATGCTGGTCTAAAAACAGCTGTAAATATTTGTTCGCCAAAAATGTGATGGAAAAAAAGATTGGGCAAGAGAGGGTTGCCAGTTAAAAGTCATGGGACAAGAACTAAGGGCTTTTATTTTTTTTTGGAGGGGGATTGCTGGGGAATGTAGTGATAGTATTGCAAAAAACAATAAGAAGAAAAGTAATGGAATATTTAAACATTTAAAAATGCACAGAAGAGAGCAGAAGTTCAGAAAGGGGACACAGAGAAGCAGGGATGTGTTGGAACTACCATGTGAAATTTAATATACCCCCTTTTAAAAAAAAGGGCTTATAATAGATGTTCATAGTGTGATGGGCATCTGAGGCATGTGTGGACCCCATCAGTTTTCTAGGATGGTCCACATGAGCCCCACCCCTATTAAAATAGCTTCTTATGTGATCCCCCCTTTATGCTGTTCTTTGTATATTGAGATATTCTTATTTGATGATGTTTATTAAGGTCATAAAAACAATAAAATAGGAAGAATAAAAAATAAAATTGACAAGGCAGAAGCAAAAAGTTGTAGAAGGAACACAAATAGGAGAATTTTGTTCTTATCGTGTTACATTGAATATAGACTTTTTGAAAAACAAATTCCAAGTAAGAGAAATTCATAGTTTCATATTCAATTTTCTCTTTTGTTGTATGTCAAAATGCATGTTTGCTAATGGTTGCTAAGTTCATAATAAAAAAGAAAAATAATCTTTAAATGGTTGTAGAAAAAAATTCAGAGGATATAGCCATAGTCCCGAGGATGGGAGGGAGAAACACCCCCTCCCTGCCTTTCCGTTTGTTGGTGGTAGAAAGCATTAAAATTCTGGGAAGCTATGTTGTCAGGGTACAGCCTTGATCTGCCTCATCTTTGACTCTAAGCCCTGATCTTGGACGATAGGACCTTCCTGGATTTTTTGTTTGGAGACCCAGAACTGACATCTATATCCTTCCTCCTCTCTGCAGGTCATTCCGTTCTCTGGGCCCATCCATGGTGGACTCCAGGATGGACATGAGGTCGTTGTCAACGGGTTGGTCCTTCAGACCAGTGGGACTAGGTACTTGTTTCTTCTCTTTTCCTCTTACATGTCCTGTCTCTGAGTAGACCAGGGCATTCACCAGCAGGTGAAGGCACAAGCAGCAATTGTCCCTGGAAATTGCCCTGATGTCTCAAGTTATTCCACCTGACTTCAGAGGCTGAATAAGCCCATGGGTCAGAGAGCCACATGACAATGACAAAAATCAGATGACAATGATACCCTGGCTGGCCCTCTGCAAGACATGGGTTTACAGCCTTGATCTAAATAGACTAAAAAGACTAATGTGTCTCAAACCCTTTCTTAGCCCAGCCTCTGAACATGACCTCATCTGAGAGGTGACTGGTCAGCATTAAGGGTGTGGAATCTAGCCAGGAAACAGTTTTTCACCTCAACTTCATCAACTCATCTGAAGTGCCTACTATGTACAAGGCACCAAGCTAGGAGCTAGGGATAGCAAGATTTTTTCCCCCCTATGAATCCTCTCCCCTTAGGGAGTTTACATGATAAGGGGTGAGGGATACAGGAATTACATGCACTCATAGCTGGGTAAATACAACACAGGGTGCAATGAAGTCAGAGGAAAAATCCAGAAAAAAAGCTAATACTGGAAGAGGTAGTGTGGAGGAGGGGGTCATGAACTGGGGGAAGAGATCATTCTGCTGAACCTTGAGGTAAAAAGACAAGAAATCTGAAAAGTAGAGATGAAAAAGCAAGCACTCATTCTAGGCATAGTGGCCAATCTTAGAGTGAATGCTCAGAAACGGGAAATAGCAAGGAATGGCATTTCATTTTGTCAAATTTTGACCCTTGACCACGTAGGAATGGAAGTTAGTACTTTAGCCTCATTGTTTAGCAAGGTTTTGTTTTGTTTTGTTTTGTTTTTTTAGCTGTGTCTGACTCTCTGTGACCCCATTTGGGGTTTTCTTGGCAAAGATACTTGGAGTGGTTTGCCATTTCCTTCTTCAGTTCATGTGACAGATGAGGAAACTGAGGCAACAGGGTTAAGTGACTTGCCCAGGGTTACATGGCTATTAAGTGTCTGAGGCCAGATATGAACTCAGGGACATGAGTCTTCCCAGCTCCAGGCCTCTGTGCATTGCTACCCCTTAGCTTCATTACTTGTCTACTAGTCTGTGTACTGCTACCCCTTAGCTTCATTACTTGTCTACTAGTCTGTGCACTGCTACCCCTTTAGCCTCATTACTTGTCTACTAGTCTGTGCACTGTTACCCCTTTAACCTCATTACTTGTCTACTGGTCTGTGCACTGCTACCCCTTAGCCTCATTATTTGTCTACTAGTCTGTGTACTGCTACTCCTTAGTCTCATTACTTGTCTAACTAGTCTGTAAAAATCAAGGAAGGCAGGTACCATATGTGATCTAAATTTTGTAACTTCTCCACAATCTAGCTTAATAAATATTAATGAATTGAACTTGAGGGCTACCTTAACCTACTCAGCTATTACTGGCCCGAGCTAAACCAGGAATATGAATTCAGAACATTACCAGGAGAAATAAAACATCATTAAATCAATCAAGCAATATTGATTGAACCTGACAAAGTTCCCATGTGGAATTAGAGCAGAGGTGGGGAACCTGCAGCCTCGAGGCCACAGGTGGCCCTCTAGGGCTTCAAGTGCGGCTCTTTGAATCCAAACTTCACAGAACAGATCCCCTTAATAAAAAAGTCCTTAATAAAAGGACTTTGAAGGTGATAGTGTGGGTACAGAGCAAAGGGTGCCAGGTTTGGAATCAGAAGACTTGGGTTCAAATCCTAGCTTTTCCACCGCTACCTGTGAGACCCCAAGAAAGTAATTTCTATTCACTGGTCCTCAGTTGTCTCCTCTGGAAAATGAGGGAGTTGGACAGCAGCAGGGTTTCTTAACCAGGATTTCAGGGAGTCTATGAAACTGGATGGCAAAAAAATAGATCTTCATTTCATTGTAATGAAATGCATTTAAAAACATGATTCTGAGAAAGAGGTCCATGGGCATCACTAGAATGCCAGAAGAATCCAAGATACATAAAAGCTTAAGAACTCCAATACCAGGGGATGTCTAAGTTAGAGAGCACTGAATCATGAGTTAGGGAACCCAGGTGCAAATCTTAGTTGTTCTGGTTTCATCTGCTACTGGAGGAGACATGCCATGAGGGCAGGGACTGTATGAGGTCTAAACTGTGCATCACTCTCCCTTCCCAGCCTCCTTCGTCTAGTACACAGAACTTTCCTGTGGACTGGGGCAGACAAAAGGGGGATGCATGGAGGAGGTGGGGCTTGAGTGATGAGTAGGGGGGGACTAAGAATAAGTGGACATCCCTCTCATTTACCATCTGAGGAGTCACACACTTAGACACAATAGAACTAAGATCTCTAAGTGCAGGTATTTAAAACAGAGTACCAAGGGGAAAAGTGTCACAAAGACTAAAAGGAAGAAGGAAAGAGAGAAAAGAAGAGTGACCAGGAAAAGGAAGTTTCTAAAGCTAAGGAGTAGCTTCTGGGCCATCATCTTACTGATCACCAGCAGCACACTGCATCCACTAACTGCCCTTCTATTATTATTTTTTTTTGGCCCCTGGACTAGGTTTTCTGTGAATTTTCAGCATGGGTTTGATGGAAACAACATCGCCTTTCATTTCAACCCTCGGTTTGAAAGTGGCGGTGTTGTTGTGTGTAACACAAAGCAGAATGGTTCCTGGGGGCAGGAGGAGAGGAGGATGAAGATGCCTTTCCAGAAGGGGGCGCCTTTTGAAATTCGCTTTCAGGTCCAGAGTACAGACTTCAAGGTAAGGACAGCATCGTCCCCGCTAAGTCACCTTCCTTTTAGAGAGCACGGTGGTTTATGAGTCAGAGGGCATGGCTTCAAAAAAGTCAACTTCAGGTGTACAATATGGAGGAAGCATGGCTTAGCGACAGCAGTTTGGTTAAAAAAGATCAGAGGGTTTTAGTGGCCCACGTGCTCAATGTGAATCAATAGTACAACACAGTCACAAAAGTAGCTAAATGTAACCTTGGGCTGCACTGAGAGGCAGACAATAGTCTCATCGCTATAGTCTGCTCTGCTCTGACTGTATCCAAAATACTGCGTTTGGTCTTAGGCATCAACATTCAAAAAGGGCCCTGATGAACTGGAACGTGTCCATAGGAGGCCAACAAGGATGGTGAAGCATCTTGGGTCCACGTCAAAAGCAGATGAAGCCATTGGGAATGGGGTGTTTAGCCTTAGAAGGGAAAGCTCAGGAGAGATAGGATTGATGCCTTCAAATATTTAAAGGACCATCATGCTAAGGAAAGATTTGATTTATTCTATTGGTATCAGAGGTCAGAACCATGAGCCCTGGGTGGGAGCTCGATGTCGGCCATTCTCAGCGACTGGAGACCTGATGGTCATGATGGCAGATGGGGGAAGATCCAGTCTCCAGGACTCACGTTTGTGGCTTTCTTGCTCATGCACCTTCTTCACGTTGGCAGGTGATAGTGAATGGTAATTACTTCATCCAGTACCAGCACCGGATCCCTTTCCATCAAGTGGACACCATCGCGATCGAGGGCATAGTGCAGGTGTCCTACATCAACTTCCAGGTCAGAATGGATGGCACGGGCTTCCTCCACTGTCCTATCTCCTATCCCAAAGGAGGGGAGGAGATCCCACTGAGCGGCAGCTACCACTACCAGCAGACACATTCAGGGCTACAGACTGGCCAGGAGGAAGCCCCTTCTCCTCCTCCCCGAACCCTCTTGCTCCCACTTCACTTGCTCCCTCTCCTGAACTTGGAAGGGAAAAGCTCCTGTTACTCTCCCCCAGGAGTGTGTCTTCTTTACCTTCCACTTGGCTTTGTCATTTTCCCTCCTGCATTTTTGGCACCTCGCACAGTGCCTGACACATAGTAGACATTTAATCAAGATTTGTTAAATTGAATTGAACCAGACTGAGCTGAACTGCATTTCTGCCCCTTTGCTGGGCTCTATCCCCCCCAACTCCCACTCTCTCCCCCATGTCTCTGTCCCTCTAAGTCCACTCTGTTATTTCCACTCCTCCTTCACTGTCTGATTGGGAGGCAAAGTGATAGAGTGAAAGAACCTGAGTTCAAATCCTGATTCTGCTACTCTGAGGCAAGTCATGTAATGTCTCCGACCTTACAGTCTCTTCCTTGCCACTGAATGTCTGAGGACTTTATTTCAGGTCCTTGTCACCTCTTTTGATGTAAAACGAGGGGCTTGAGTAAGATGACTTTTTAAGGTTACTCCTAGTTCTAAATGCTTTCAACTTGGTTTGTCCCCATTTCTTTCCTCTCTTTTAATATTTGTGGCCCTGGTTGGCATTTTTCCTGACTCTATCTCCCCCTGTCTTTACCTCTCCTCTTTTCTGTCCATGTTTTTATCCTGTTCATCTGTCTCTTCTCCCTACATCTGCCCTTTCCCTTCCTTCTGTTTCCTTCTCTTTCATAAACATCCCTACCCAAACATAGGAAATCATTAACGGAGCTGGAGGTCATGGCGAGGTTTATCCTTTCCTCACCAAATCTAGTTTATTACTGATTCAATTCATTCACCAAGCATTTATTAAGCACTTCCTATACAAAGTCAAATGTCAGAGTAATTCCTGACCTCCAGAAACTTATATTCTACTGTAGGATACAGAGAAATAAATACAAAATGATTTAAGATGACAGAGAGAGAGAGAGAGAGAGAGAGAGAGAGAGAGAGAGAGAGAGAGAGAACTAATGACTGGGTACAAGCCAGGAAGGTTTTCCACAGGAAGTTCCGTCTGAATTGAAATGTGAGGGAAGCTAAGGATTCTAAGAGGCAAAAGTGAGGGCCTGGAGGTGGGAAATTCAATGCTGAGTTTGGGGAGCAGCAAGTAGACCAGTTTGGAAGGAGACTGATAAGAAATAAGGTTGGAAGGCTGGGGAGGTCTTTTAGTGCCAGCTTGAGGAATTTGTGTCTTATTCTAGTGGTGTTAGGAGGTCCTCGAGGCAGCATTATATAATCAAGAGTGCTAATGTTGCAGCACTGACCTTAGAGTCCAATTTGACCTGAGTTCAAATCCTAGCTCTGTCTTTTATTACTTGTGTGACTTTGGGCCTCTTAACCTGGATGGGTCTGAGCTTCCTTAGCTGTAAAATGAGACAGTTGGATAGTTGACTTCTGAGGAGTATTTGACCTCTGAGTTCCCTTTCAGCTGTAGATGTATGGTCCTATTATAGGAAGTTACTGAAGGCTGGTGAGCAGGGAGGGCTACGGTCAGTCCTCAGCCTGTTTCCTGTCTCTAGCCTGCTCTATTCAGCTCTGGTGAACCACAAGTGAGAGGCCCGTTCAGTCCAGTTGACATTAATTGGTGTCAGAAGTAGGGTTACACAACTTACATGTGTAATCTTAAGCAAGTTATATTATCTCTGCCTGCAGTTTCCTGCAGCCCTGATAATGAGGGCTAACAGCAACAATGAGATAAGTTTGATTCACAGCAGGGTTTTATGACCAGAACTTGTCTGAGCTTGGACAATGCTCTTCCAAGCTCAGAGAACACCTGGTGCTGGTCAAAGCAATACATTAATTGTATGATTTTGCCAGAGGGTGAGATCATTCAGAGGGTGAGTACAAAGGATTGTTGTTATGCCAAGCTCAGGGCACAGCTTGCTTGCTGGACCATAGCTCTGGAAAACAGGGTGTCTCCTAATAATATCTTGACACCCTCAAGCAAGGAGATTCCCCTACTCTCCTTCACCCATTCCAGGTTCTTAACAGTTGAGGCCAGAAAGTACATAATGTTTCGTCCAGTCGTCTCTCGTCACAAACATCAGGAGAAGATTCTCAGCAACAACCAGGGGGGCCAGGAAGGCATCCTCTCTGTCTTCATCAGACAAGATGGGGACTGAATGGATAAAAAAAATAAAATAAAAATTTAAAAATAAATAGAACAGAAAGATGGTTTCAGGAGTGAAGGTTGTTAGTTAATTCTTGGGCTTGGGCAATGGGGAGAGTGGGAATTTTCAGGTACTGTTACAAGAGCCTTGTGATGCAGCTCATAGGCTAGGCTTGGCATCCCAGCCATAGGGAAGACTCCATTAAAGAGAGGGAGGCTCTTCTTGAACTAACCCAACTGTCACTCACTCAAACTTGCCTGCTCGCCTCTCTTTGCCTGCTTCCTCTCTGTGCTTGCACAAGCTTCATTTTTCCCAAGGAGGTCCCTTCTCTCTTAGTTTCCCTCAGCTCTACCCTGCTCCCTGCCTCACCTCCAACTTGCTCCCTACCTTCCCTTTACCCTGTTCTCTTCCTTGCCTTGCTAAACCTGCTAATTAACCTGAATGCTGCTCTTTTTTTTCTTTTTTTTTAACAGAACAGCAGACTTGCTCTTATTCAGCCTCCCTGCTATGTCCTGCCTCATACAATGACAGCAAAACCTCCTCGTAGGCCCAAGGGAGGCAAACCCAAAGTGAGTGAATGAGTGAGTGAGCAGACTGACACTTCTCTCTGTTCAGTCTGGACCAGGTGTTTGCCAGCCAGTCAGAACTATCAGCTGGCCCAGTTAGAACAGTGCTTGGGTCTGATGTCAGGCAGCTCAGCATAGGTAGGACTGAGGTGAGTTAGAACAGGGACTGTCCCCTCAGTTAGAATAATGAGTCAGTCACTTTGCCTAGGACATAGAGCACGTCAGCTAGCATAGTGGGTCAGGTTAGTTAGAACAGGGAGTCAGTTGATCAGGGCAATGAGAACAGTGGGAAATGCAGTCTGCACAGTGAAAATAGGCAGTCCAGCTCTCAGGACACTTGGAATAATTAGACAATTGGGTCATCAAGAAGAAATCATTCAGGTAAGTCATAGTCAGGAGACTGTCAGATCACTTAAAACAGGTAGTCAGACAGAACAGTCAGACAATCAGCACAGTTTGAGCAGTGAGATCAACCATCAGAACAGCCAATCAGGACAGTTTGAGCATCCAGAGCAACAGTCAGAACAGTTAAACAGGTCAATTACATCAGTTAAATATCTGTAAGGTCAGTTAGAATAGGGAGTGGGTCATTGTCTCTCAGGGCTGTTAGAACAATGGGTGAAAGAATATTTAGTCAGCAACTGTTTACTTAGCACACTAGGAAGCCACCCTGGGGACAGGCAGAAGCCTGCTCCCACTTGGGACTCCAGAATTGCAAGGCTCAGCTGTCAACATAAGAGGTGCATGGGTCCCCAGGGTCACCTCACTCCAAACAGCGTCAGACAGTATTTTGCTTCCTTTGAATCCTCATTAGGAGAAAACCCCCTCTCTGCTTCTTAAAGCAAACAGAGATTGCTTTGAATGAAAGAGCGATTTGAGAATTGCTGCCACTTTCCCAGGTGGGAGGGGGAAGAGACACCTGCATCAGAAATCACAACTTTGGCTTCTGACTGCTTAGAGAAGCATCTGAGATTATCCCCTGGGAGAAGAGGTGTCTTCAAGTCCTCGATATGCCTAGGATGGGGGCAGGGGAGGGTTGGGGGAATTCATGCACAGGGTCCTTCTGGGAGAGGTGGGTTTGGGCAAGCAGAAAGGAGATTAGCAGACCCACATTGCAGCCCTTCCTAGAGCAGAGGCTTTTAATCTTTTCGTGTGTGTCCTGGATGCCTTGAGCAGTCTGGTGAAACCTATGGACCCCTTCTCAAAATAATAGTTTTTAAAAATGCATAATGTAAGATAAGGACTATGAAGAAAACTAAATATATTGAAATAAAGATGTAATTTTCTGAAGACCCCTTCAGGTCCCTAGACCCCCTAGGTTAAGAACCCTAATCTAGGCCAGTCCCTAGATCAGGGTGACAGAGCCCTTGGGTAGTAGGGCTCGGGAAACCTATGAACCTCTTCTCAAAAGAATATTGTTGAATATATAAAATAAAATGTGTAGGATTACTAAGGAAACCAATAATGTGAAAGATCATTATCAAAATATTTTTTAAAAAAATACACCCATTAATGGACCTAAGGTTAAGAACCCTTGAGAGACACAGAGTAGTACCTTCAACCCTACAAAATCTTTCATTTTTTACCAGCCAGGCTTCAGGGTTCATCCCCTACTGATGCTCCAGCAATGACGCTGTTTTGTTTTTCATCCCTTTCAGCCTCCCCAACCTGTCTGGCCAACTACTGCCTCACCTATCGTAAGTCTTAGATTTCCTGAATCTTTTTGGATTATTTTATTTCCTGTTTCTGGTTTTGGTCAGGTTAGGACCAGAGTGGGAGTGTCCTCAGAGAGCTGGTCCAGAGATTACCTAGGAGGGAATCACCTTGGGGCAACCTTTCTTATCCTTGAATGGGACCCTTTCCCCTGCAGCCTGGTCTCTTGTGGTAGTCCCTGAAGGACAAATGGTATCATTCATATAGCACTTTCAAATTGGTGTCATGATTCACACACATTGTCTTTTTTTTTTTTTTTTTGTTAAGGCAGTTGGGGTTAAGTGACTTCCCCAGGGTCACACAGCTAGTAAGTGTCAAGTGTATTTTTTGAGGCCGGATTTGAACTCAGGTCCTCCTGACTTCAGGGCCAGTACTCTATCCACTGAGTCACCTAGCTGCCCCTACACGTTGTCTTCTTTGAACCCCACCACAACCCACTGAGGCAGGTGGTACAGGTATTATTTTTTTTTTCAGCCAGAGACAAGGTTTATTAAAGATCTGCCAAATTGGCCAGACTCTTAAGGAATCTGAGCACCTGTGAGCTATTGGCTAGATTGTAAAAATCTGAGCAATGGCTAGATTATAAGAATCCCAGCCAGTACAGGTATTATTTATACCCATTTTGCAGATGAGCTTTAGAGGTTAAATACTGGAATTTGTACCCAAATCTCTTTTAACTCCAAATCCAGAGCTCTTTCTTAGAATCTAGCGTCCTTCTTGGGCACAAGACTTGCTGACTATTTTCGCCATCCCAAATTCTCAGGTTTGTCAAGCCTCCACCTTCAACTCTTACTCCATTTGCATTGGGAGTCATAGAAGTCAGAGGTTCTCCATCCCACTCTCCCTCCAGTATTTATATCACTTTTTTGTTAAGTCATTTTTCTGTCATGTCTGATAGTTCGTGACCCCATTTGGGGTTTTCTTGGTAGAGATACTGGAGTAATTTGCCATTTTCTTCTCCAGCTCATTTTACAGATGAGGAAACTGAGGCAAATATAGTTAAGTGACTTGGCCAAGGTCACACTGCTAGTAAGTGTCTGAGGCCAGAAGACGAATCTTCCTGATTCCAAGCTCAGTGCTCTATTCATAATGCCACCTAGCTGCCCTAGTATTTACCTCAAAATTAATGTATATAATTGTTTTCATATTATCTTCATTTTAAAATATATCCCACCTCCATCCCCTACCTAGACAGCTATCTCATATGACAAATAATAAAAAAGAGAGAAAAAATCAGTTCAGCAAATTCAATAATACATGAGCGAGCTGAGTTTAACAAAACATATGATCAATGTTCCATACCCATAGTCCCTAACCTTGAACTCAGGTCCTCCTGACTCCAAGAGCAGAGCTCTATCCACTGCACCACCTAACTGCCCCTATTTTTTTTTTTTAAGATTTTTACTTTTTTTTCAAGAGATGGGGGAGGGAAGGTATTGAAAATCCTGGCATATTTGAGTGATTGAGAGTGAATTTCCCAAAGATGTCTCAGATGACAGGGAAGAGGGCATGATATATTTCTTAGGACCCTTCTACCAAGGTGAAAACCCCAGTGGAAATGGAAACAGCCTTTTCTAGCTAGAGAGTATTCAAGATTAACATGTGAAGCTGGTACCCTTGAGGGTTTTCATGGTTGGTGCATTAACTGAGTTTTTCCTCTCTTGTTTCTCCTTTCAGACTCAAATGCTTTTCCCCGGCATCCACTCTGCTCCACAGATGCACGGTGTAAGACTTGAATTGCTGACCATTCTGTGCTCCATCCATCCATCTCTTACCCTTCGTCTGTTGAAATAGACTGAGCTCTTTGAGTTATGTGTTGTGATAAAGGCCTCTTAGCCTGGGCCCTGGGAATGCTAGACACAAGATCATAGCTCTAGAACTGGAAGGGTTCTCTAAAACTCTCTAATCCAACCCTCTAAGTCAATAAACATTTATTGAGCACCTACTGTGTGCTGGGCACTGTGCTTAAGTGCTAGGGATTTTACAGAGGAGAAAGTGAGGTCCAGAATGGTTGGATTCATTGATCTCTAAGGTCCCTGCCAGCTCTAAATCTATGGAGAGGAACCATGGGGAGAGCTGACCTCAAAGTCAGGAAGTCTTGGGTTCAAATCCTGCCTCAGACTCTTACTAGCTGTATGACCCTAGGTGAATCACTTAACCCCTCTTATACTTCAGTTTCCTCCTCTGTAGAATAAGGGCATTGGACTCTCTGGCCTCTAAGATTCCTTCCAGCTCTAACTATATGATCTTAGTTGAAATGACTGAGCTAAGGTCATACAGGTAGTAAGTGTCCATGGTGGGATCTGAGTTCATTCACTGATTCCAGAGTCAGTGCTCTTTACTCTTCACCAGGAAGGAATGGGATATGTGCCTGAGGGGCTAGGGGTGGGGGTAAGGGGGGAGGAACTTGTCCACCTTTTGAAGGGTGCCGGAGGAGTAGCAGCACCTGGAGTGTCTGCCTAAGTCCCACACTTCTTGTGTTCTGGGTATAGAAGTCCTAGGATCATAGGATCCCAGGGAATCACTTGGGTTGAGGAATAGAGCAGAAAGGGGCCTGAATGACCATTGAGTCCAAGTTCCTGATTTTACAGATGAGGAGACTGAGGCCCAGAGAAGTGACTTACTTAAGATCACATGGGTCAAAGAGAGGGCATTTGAACCCAGGTTCTCCAGCCATGGAGTGGGTGCTCCTTGTATGGCCTCCCAGTTCTGATGTGTTCTCTCCTGGCTCAGTGTAAGTGGGGAGGTTGGGGGATGTGTTCAGGAGTTAGGCAGTACTTGTGAGCACGGAACAAGGGGTATTCAGAAAACAGCTTAAAGAAATTACGAAAACAAAGGGAAATCTATCCACAACACAGCTCCCCCCCCCCCCCCCCCCCGGGGAAAAGGAGAGAAAGGGGCCGGAATGACCATTGAGGCCAAGTTCCTGTTTTAAGTTCCATAACCAAACTGATATTCTTCAGCTTTTAGGAGGAGGGTGTGTGTGTGTGTGTGTGTGTGTGTGACTCTGTGTGTTTGTGACTCTGTCTGTGTCACTATGCCTGTGTGTGACTCTGTGTGTGTGTGTGTGTGCTCGTGCACGCGTGCATGGCTGTGTGTTACTGACTCTGGGTGTTTCCATTGTTTCTTCTTTTTTTCTAGGCACCTGTTTTCCCATCCCTACCAGTCACCAATCAGTTGTATGTAAGTTGCTGCCTTGTGCTCATGGGGGAGGGCAGTGGGGAGGACAGTGTGAACTTCAGACTCTGATGCCTAAGAGAAAGTGCTGTGGGTTGGAGGGGCCCTGAGAAACCTCAGAAAGCCAAAGGGAGCCCCACACTTGGAAATGACCAATAGCTGTTACCTGGGGCCATGTTCCTGATCCCCTGGGATAGCCCTCAAACCCTACCTTATGCCCTGCCTCAATTCTTCTTGTGGCACATGTGACCAGCTTCCCCTGACTTTTCTTTTCTTTTTATGGAGGTCGTCTTTGTCATCCTTTTCTCTAAAATGAGAAAAAGCATGATGTGGTGGATAGAGAGCTGACCTTGGAGTCAGGAAGTCCTGGGTTCAAGTTCAGCCTCTGATAAATACTGGTTGTGTGACCCTGGGCAAATCACAACCCTTCTGAACTCTTGAAAACTCTTTAAGACTCTAGTTATAGAAAAGATATTTACCTGTATTGGTAGAGGGAGTATCCTCACCTGGGAGTTCCCTCTATCAATGAAATCACAGGTTTAGTCCCCATCCTTAGCCTTTCTCAAAGGCACCAAACTGTTTCCGAAGCCCTCTGTCAATTGCCCAAGTTACACACTGCTTAACTCCTTGTCTCTCATTTTACTGCAGCCCTTACCTTTTAGTACATCCATCTTTGGAGGACTCTACCCATCCAGGAACATCATTGTATCTGGCATCATCCTGTCTGCTGCTGACAAGTGAGCATCAGTACTGAGTTCACAGGGATAGCAGTTCCTTTTATCTGGCATCCCTCTCCTCTCTGGGCAGCCACGTCCCTTTTTTATTACTTGTCAGTCAATCAAGAAACATTTATTAAACACCTGCTATGTGCCAGGCACAGTACTAAGTACTGAGTATACAAAGAAAGGCAAAAGACAGTCCTTGCCTTCAAGGAGTTTGCAGCCTAATAGAGGAGACAATACACAAACAGCTATATACAAATAAACGGTATATAGGATAAATTGGAAATAATCAGTAGAAGGAAGTCTCTAATGTTAAGGGGGAGGGTCTGGAAAAGCTTCCTATAGACTTTAGCTGATACTTGAAGGAAGCCAAGAAGATGAGGAGGTAGGGCATTTCAGGGGGATGACCAGGAGATAGCAGTGTCACAAAAACCTAGAGAAAAGAGAGTACCCAGGAGAAAAGGGTGATTGACAGTGTTTGAGGCTGCTCAAGAGACAGTGTTGGAGAGCTCAAGAAGGATAAGGATTGGGGAAAGATCGATAGATTTGGCATTTAAAGGATCGTTAGGTTTTATATGATTGCACATGTATAACCTATATCTGATTGCTTACCATCTCAGAGAGCAGGGAGGGATAGAATTTGGAACTCAAAACTTCAAAAAAAACCCCAAATCTTAAAAAATTGTTTTACATATAATTGGGGAAAAATAAAATATTATGTATTTTTAAAAAGAGATTATTAGTAGCTTTGGAGAAAGCAATTTTGTTTGAATGGGGACAGCAGGGAATGATAGAAGTGGTTTTCTAGCTAGATATCAGGGTAGAAGAAATGACTTCATCACCCAGGATCACCAGCAGAAACAATTAGAGAAGCCTTAATTTGCCAGTTATACAAAATGTGCCTGGCATTGGGAAGTACAAAGATAGATATGACCTTTTTTCAGGGAGCTGAAAATCTAATGGGGAGAAAGCCCTGGGTGCACACAATACTGTTACAAGGGAAAGTGAAAAATGGTGGGTGCATATATTCAAATGTACAGATTTGAAGTTTCAATTATATAAACTATGGGAATTGACTCCAGCCCGATAGAAATATATGTTATGAATTTGAATAATGTAACCATGTCACATGATTCCTTATTCGAACTAATCAAGACCTAGCTGTAAGCACAAAGGAGAGAGTTATAGGCAAAGTGAGAAGTAGGAAGGAGAGGTCACTTTCACGTGGGTTGGGTGGGGGTACAGAAGTAGGGTGGAGGAGAGAGAGAAGAGTTGACTGAATTGATCACTACACAAGCACCAGGCACTGTCCTGGGTGGCGGGGGCACAAAGATAAAAATGAGACGCTGCCTGTCCTCCAGAAGCTTGCATTCTGTCAAAGGAAATAACGTGTTCATCTTCCTGTCCCTCTTCTTCAGGTTCACAATCAACCTGAGGTGTGGGAATGACATCGCCTTCCATCTGAACCCACGATTTAAGGAGAATGCCGTGGTCCGGAACACCCAGATTAACTACTCTTGGGGTCCTGAGGAGCGTGGTCTGCCTAGATCTATGCCCTTCACCCGAGGCCAACCCTTCTTGGTAAAGCATGGGGAGGGAGAGAGGGCTTGGTGGGTGGAGAGTAGGTAAACCTTGAACTCCAGAGTTTCCTTCAGAACACAGTGAATTGGGAAGGAGTCTGACGATCCAAGACACTAGATAATTTATTTCCCAGGGGTGAGAGCAGATCCTTTCTAGGCTTCTGCACTCATGGGAAGATGAGAAGTAGAAAGGGCTAACCCAAGGGCTAATGTGGTTCATGGAGCAAGTTCCATGTTGTCATTTATGTCTACAGTGACACAAAATGGCACTGGCATGACTTCAATACTACAATGATCAGAGATTTCATCAGCCTAGACTCTCCCTCCACTGTCACAGACCAGTGGTCTCCAAGAGGTGTTGGGAGCAAAACACTGAAGCTAAGCTGAAATGAGTTCTTTCTTTAGCTAGACTGGCCCTCCAATGGTGGGCTTGAGCTCACTCCATCACTGGTCCCATAGAAGCATTTCCAATTTTGGTAAGACCAGGGCGTGTGGTCTACTATCATAGACTTCTACAAACACAGGGTCTCCTCCATGCCAGCATGAGACCTTGGAAGAGAACCAAAGTGAAGGACATGTCGAGATGTCAAAAAGGTGCCTTTAAATACTGTTTTTCATCGAGATGAATCCTTGCAGGAGGCTTAGCACACACACACAAACAAATTATGCTTAGAAAACGAAGCTTAGGCTTAAATAGGACATTACTCAGGCCACTTCCTTTGGTAGATGAAAGAATAATTGTCTAGTTGGGTCATAGGGGTCATCTAGTTCAAGTTCCTCTTTTTGCAGATGAGAAGACTAAAGCCCACACGGTGAGTCAGTGGTAGAGTTTGGAGCTGGGCAAACCCGGGTCCTCTGACCCCAAAATCTATCATTCTTTCAATCCATCACTCTTTCCATTGAATCATAAAGGAATTTTATCTTTTCCAAGGCCCACCCCATCCTACTCCAAATCTGTAAGCCCATGATCCAAAGGTGGGCTCTTGTGAGGATTCCATTCTAAGTAGATTTCTGTGAAATAATAAGTAATCATGACTAGTATTTATATAGTGTTTTAAGGTTTGCAAAGTGCTTTACAAATTATTATCTCATCTGATCCTCACAACAACCCTGGGAAGTAGGGCCTATTTTATTATTCCCATTTTACAGATGAGGAAACTGAGGCAGACAGGAGTTAAGTTATTTTCCCACAGTCACGTGGCTAGTATCTGAGGCAGGATTTGAACTTGGGGCTTCTTGATTCCAAGGCCAGGGCTCTGTCCGCTGAGCTACTTAGCTGCCTTTGTTTATGGTTAGTGATCAAATTCTAATCTTCTGCTTATGATGCAATCAATTATATTTATCCCGTATGACTCCAGGATATTACAGCTTCTTACCATCATAATCCAATAATGACTCTCTCAGAATGCTGTGTCAGAGAAGCTTTTCTTCCTCATGGCCTGAGCAGGCTGGAGGAAGCAACGAATGTCTCCATACGAATGAGCAGTGGCATCGTAAAGGGATGGTGCCTCACGTCCCCTCCGCATGTGTTTTGTGTGGACCTATACAATGTACAAAGTCTCCCCTGCTACACTGTAAACTCTGAGGGCAGGGATTGTTTCCTTTTTTTTTTTTTAAACTTTGTATCCCCAGTGCTTAATATGGTCCTTGGAACACAGTAGGCGCTTAATCAATGCTTGTCGATTGATTGTCCTCTTGTCTTCCAGGTGCAGATTAAGTGTGAAATCCACTGCCTCAAGGTGTCTGTCAACGGACTGCACCAGTTTGACTACAATCACCGCATAAAAAACCTATGCTCTATCAACCAGCTGGAGGTGTCGGGAGACATCCAGCTGACCCAAGTACAGGTCTTCTGAAGGGCCTCCCACCCAGGTGTCCCGGCTGGAGGTGGCTGGAGACATTCAGCTGATAATGAAGGCTCTCTCACCCAGTTGTCGCAGGCTGAATCTTTCTTTTTTCTCTCCTATCCTCACTTCTCCCTAGCTGATTGGACTCTAAGCACCAAGCTTTCCCTCCACTCCCAGTCAGGGAGGAGTTGGAATAAGATGCTGTCCTCTTTGGGGGAAGGTAGAGAAGGGACTTACCTTTGTTTCTCCCTGGGTTTCTTGTACACAGTCAGTAGGATGGGAACCTTCCTGAAGCAGGGTTGTTTATTTCTCAACAATGGCAGAACTGAGTTCACCTTCCAACCTGGCTGCTGTGGCCTCAGGTGTGATATTTTGATGTTCTGATACAGAACAGGGGATTCAGAGATCACCCCTCCTCTCCAGAACAGAGCCCCTGCCTTAACTGTCTTTTCAGATTTGAGCCCCTCCTCCTGTCTCCACCTGGAGCCAGTGGCTTCTCTCTCATCCCCTGTTCCTCTGCTGTGGCCCCATCAATATCCCCTTTGTCCTTCCTGTTGCCTCCAAGACCTTGGACCTCCTCGGTGCCTTGTTATATGCCCAGAGCTTTCCCTATTCTTTGTGAAACCCTCTTCCTCCAGGGAGTACTCTCTGATAAGCAGGAGCCAGTTGTAGCCTCCCGCCCCTCTCCACGTGATCTCTGTGATGTCATTTGAAGAACGTGAAACAGTACCTGCTTTTTTTTTTTTTGTACACTTCCACTCTTTCTATTTGATTCTACTTCCGGAGGGTAGGGGCCATGTCTTACTTATACTTTGTATCTCTCCACTGCCCAACCCAACACACACAGCAGGTGCTTAATAAAAGTCTGTTATGCAGTATTGTGCTCAGAGCACTTGTGATTCATTAAACTTGTGTTTAGAGGTCAGTGAGATTCTTGGCTTAGAGTGTGACATGGGGGTGGGTTAGGTGGGGAAAGAATTTGGGCTGGTATTTGTTTAGTACTTTAGATAAAATCCTTTACATACATTATTATTATTTTCAGGTAATTGAGGTTAAGTGACTTACTCAGGGTCAGACAGCTAGTAAGTGTCAGGTCTCTGATCAGATTTGAATTCAGGTCCTCCTGACTCCAGGGTCAGTGCTTTATCCACTGTGCCATCTAGCTGCCCCTACATACATTATTTCTTTTGAGCCTCATAACAGTGCTGGAGGTAGGAACTATTGTCCTTATCTCCATTTTACAGATGGACAAACAAACTCAGCGAAGTGAAATGACTTGCCCTAGGTCTCACAGCTAGTGTATGTCTGAGGAAGCATTTGATTTGAGCCCTGGACTTCCTGGCTTTGGTCTTAGCTCCCTAATTCAGACCTGTGCTGGAGAAAATCAGAGAGATTTGCATTAGTCTCCTGATGCCTTTGTCAATTGGCAGAGTGATGAAATGGGAGCTTCTGGGATGGACTCAAATCTGGAAAGGCCTTGGAAAAAGTAGTTACCTGCAGAGCTGAAACTAAGGTATGGTGCCTGGACCTTTGCCCCAGGCTCCCCAAGATAAAAGACCTTCACAACATTCATGACTTAGGTAGAAACAACTGAGCTCAGTACCTAGTTAGCAAGAATAATAAGACAGGAAGGAAGCTATTTGCCCTGGTTGTTGCACCCCAGATGAACTCTCCCCGATACCTCTTCTCCTCACCTCTATAAGTACACCCCTCAACTGAATTTGTCTTAGATAACGTGCCCTAGAGCATTTTGTGAAACCAGCCTAAGGTACACAAATGTTATTTATGACTCTTTTGGCCAGTTCAACATTTTGGAGGTTAAGGGTGTGGGTAAGCACATTCTTGGGCAAGGGGCTTCTTGGAAGTGAGGGCCCAGACCCCAGGTATCACTTCTATACATCACACAGTAAGGCAGGGGGAACAGAGTGTTCAGAGATGTGAGGAAGCAAGAGTGAAACAGAAAAGTCGGATGATGGATAGAGTGATGGGCTTGGAGTTGGGAAGAGCTGAATTCAAATTCAAAAACCATTAACCTCTGTCTGCCTAAGTTTCCTCATCTGCAAAATGGGGGTAATAATAGCAACTACCTCCCAGGGTTGTTGTGAGGATCAAATGAGATAATATTTACAAAGGATTTTGCAAACTTTAAAGCAATATATAAATCTTAGCTATTATAAGAATGTTATTATTTCATCTGTTGTTCTGACCTTCTGTTCTTTTCTCCCCACTTCTGCCTCAGACATAGGCTTTTACAAATGATACCCTGGGTTCGAGGTACGTTGTGCTTAAAATCAGCATAAACTCAAAAAATTATAGTGCGAGCCCCCATCAATGTATTTCTTTTACTAGCCAACTCAATAATTATTAGTTCAAAGGAAAGCACCCTGAAATAGCATAGTGTAGGTAGCCAAGAAAACTGAAGCAATTCCGTTTTGTCTGCAGTTTCTCTATCTCGTCTCTGTGTTTGTACTGCAGCTTCTGCCCCTGTCTACAATCTCTCTTTCTGCTGAAATAGCAAGTTTCCAGAGCAGTCCTGTCTATTAGGGCAAGGTTAGAGAACTAACTAATCTAAACAATTTCCTTTACTGTTACACGTTCTCACACCCCAGTAACAAGCCCTGTCCAATGAAGAGGTGCCTGAACTCAACTTAAATCCCACCTAACTGAAATCTGTATAAATCTTACCTGTGTGTGTAGGGAGAGGCTCCCTTGCCGGCAAACTCAATGTACTATCATTGATTCCTAAACGTGGTTCAGGTTCTGGTTTGCTCTGGCACTGATAATTTTACCCACAAAGCAAGGTAGTGACAAGAAGACTCCCCCATATTCCCAGAGGTACATTCTCTCACAGGTTACTACATCAGTGGGGGAGGAGACATACACAAGGAACACAAGTGGCCAGAGAAGACCATATACACAAGGAATGCATATGCCCAAGGCATTGGTATGGCTAGGAACACTCACTTCTCTGACGCCCCAGAGCCATTGATGTCTCTGGTGATGTCACTAAGGAAGCTGCTGGCTCTGCCCGGGTGGACGACTTTTTCTGCTTTCTTCTGTCACACTTTTCTCTACTGGGCATCTCCATGGCTGCTGCTGCTGATCTCCAGTTACTGTATGGGCCCTTATTACTGTTATGCAAATCGACTTGGGAACAAGACTGAAAAGGGCCCCGATGGAACTGGCGACCTTTGCCTAACTTTCCACCAGCAACCAAAATCGTTCTACTCCCCACAATAAGAGGGTCAGACTAGGCAGTGTCTAAGGTCTCATCTATGATATGATGCTACGGTCTTATAATACAACCCAGCAGGAAGTGAGGCAGCAGTGAAGAGCTAGCTAACATTCCATTTCATTTCCTTGCAGGCATGTCAGGGGAAGGGTTCAGAATAAAACAAATGGTCAGAGTAGAGCTCAAGGGTTGCTTTGTGGACCCTCTTGATCGGTTCTAAGCCCTATAGGCCATAGTGGACTGAAAATATCTTCTGTTATGGACATTGAATACTACTCTGAGATTCAGAATGAACTTTCTGGCTTGAGAAGCAGTGTGGTACAGTGGATAGGGCTCTGACTCCAAAAAATATGGAAAACAAAATAACCATGTGCTGGCGCTAGCCATGATTACAGAAAAAGATTGCCTGTCTTTTGTCTCTTCCTGATCTGTGTGGTCCTTTAGTCTAAAAGGATCCAAATGTGCCCTCCCAATCTTTGTCCAAAGGTACAATTGGTCCTTGTGGGATGAAGACAGACAACTCTCCATCATCTGGGGCTGGGGGAGGGGGTCATCAGTGGACCTGGACTGGGGGATGATGTTGTGAGTGCCCAGGATAGTCCTGTCTCTTCTCCATTGCCCACCTTCACTGGCAGTTAGCAGTAGCCACAGGTGGCAGGTGGGGCAGGAAGAGGAGATGGAGAAGGAGCCAGTCTCAGTTTGTTCCCAGTGGGGGCAGGAGTCAGGGGTGGGGGAAGTGGGGGGAGGAGATCAAATCTTCTCCTCCCCTCTGTGGCCACAGATAATGAATATGTGGCTGCATCCCTCTGCAGCAGCTCTAGCTGAGTTTTGCCTTAGGGATCTTGGCCTCCTCAGCTTTTGATGCTGCTGGGTCAGTTTTCACCTCGGAGGGAAAGACAGCCCCAAAGATGTCTTCCTGGTATTGCTTCTGGCTCTTAAAGACAGAGACAGAGAGAGAGAGACAGAGAGAGAGAGAGAGAGACAGAGAGAGAGACAGAGAGAGAGAGAGAGAGAGCAGGAGTAAACAAGCCCTATGATTTAGCTGCATCAATGGGGGCAGTGGGCAAGGTAGGGACAGCAAAAGTACCACAAACCCCAATGATAAGAGAGCTTTTTGACATAACCAATTTCCCAAGAAGGAGGAAGTGCAAGACTTATTATGGCAAGAGAGCTGGGGGAGAGTCAGAGGACCTGGATTCAGATCCAGTCTCTGACTTTACTAGCCCTATGGCTTTAGGGCTCTCTGATGACAAGGCAGTTGGATAAGATGGCCTTCAAGGTTCCTTCCAGTTTGAAATCTATGATGCATCCCATTCCCTTGTATTTCTGGAGCAACTCCCTTAGAGGGAGTCCTCAAAACATTTTGTTTGCTCTCTGAAATGAGGGAGGGGCAGGAGGGTGGAGGAGAGAAATTTCTCTTCCTACCTTATAGCCGAGAAAGTAAAAGTGCTTCGTTGTAGGTCACAAAGTGAGCTAGTGACATCATTAATCTAAGCCCCCAAGCTGCTGGGGGTGGCATCATTTGCCCAGCATTCTTGGCATGGGCCCTACCTTGAGTTGGAAGAAATAGTTGTCAGTCTGCTCTTCGTTCATCTTCAGTCTGGTGGCAAAGAGATCCTTCAGAGTTCGGGCCACATCCCGGGCCATCCTCACATCCCCGCAGACATACAGGTGCCCTTTGTCCTCACGTAGTACCCGGATCACCTCATCTGCCAATCTCTTTCTCAGGACATCCTGAACATAGACGTGGGAAGGAATTGCAGTCATTGAGAAAGAGTGATTTGCTTCCAGGAGAGGTGCCACTTGGATTGGACTTTGCCCTTCTAGACACCCTTTCAGCTGGAGTCTGTTTCCCTAGTGTAGCTCACTCATCCTCAAAGAGGTGCTGCAGAAGGACATGGTGGCAACCATGGACTTGATGGTAAGCTCTCTAGGGCTAAGGACCGAGTGTTTCCTATTCTTGTGTACAAGGCATTCCAAAAGTCTTGTTGCAGGATCAAGATTATTACAACGTAAGATTTAATAAATGAAAGTTGAAGTTTTCATAAGCTTGGGGCAGCTAGGTGGCACAGTGGATAGAGCACTGGACTTGGAATCAGGAAGACAAATCTTCATGAATTCAAATCTAGCCTCAGACACTTCCTAGCCATGTGACTTCACCCTGTTTGCCTCAGTTTCCTTATCTGTAAGATGAGCTGGAGAAGGAGGTGGCAAGCTATTTCAGTATCTTTGCCAAGAAAACCCCCTATGGGGTCAGGAAGGGTTGGATGAGACCAAAGCAACTGGAGAACAACAACAGCCCCCAAAAGTAGTTAGAATAGGAAGGTGTCATCCATCACCTACCCTCATCCTCACCTGGCAATAGCTTCCCTAGAAGCAGCCTCAAGGAGTCTCAGGGTCTCCATCTTCTCATCCCAGGGTTATCTTCCGATTCTCTTCACCACAGGGCCTTCCATCCCAGGGCCCCCCACAACATCCGAACTCCCACAACAGGATTTGTCTTCAAAAGGTGCTCTGAGGGCTCACTTGGGTGCTGCTTGCCTGCGGCACCAAAAGCAAGCATTATGGCTCTGCTTTGCCGATACGTCTCCTGTGTCTACTCCAGGTACTTTATGTGGACATAAGGACATAGAGTACACAGGCCTTGTCCTCAGGGGATTAATAGTCCACCTGGAAATAGAAGAGTCAGCTCAACCAGTTAGATTTTGTGAAAAGTGCCCAAATGAAGAACACAGACAGCGAGTACTCTGTTTGTGGAGGTAGAGACAGTGTGATACAATGGACGGAGCTCTGGATTTGGAGTGAAGAGGACCTGGGTTTGAAACCTGCTTCTGTCACTTACTACCAAAGGACCTTTCCAGCTTCAGTTCAATGACCGCCTTCCTTCAAAGCCCAGTTTCGGGGCTTCCTCCTGTCCTGATCCTGCCCTGGTTATAAGTACCTCCTGCTTCTCCAAATTTCTTTGTATGGTGCAGCCATTCTCCAACTTTTTGATCTTAGGACCCACTCTTAAAGATTACTGAGGACCATCCCAACGAGCTTTTGTTTATGTGGGGTGTATCTCTCAATATTTAGTGTATTAGAAATTAAACCATCAGTATTGTTATGAAAATAGTTGTTTTTTTTTAACTTTATGGAATCTGTGAAAGTGTCAGGGACCCTGGGGTCCTTACTGTACTTTGAGAACCACTGGGATATAGGATAAGTACTGTACTTGTGGCTTGTGAGGTCACACTCTAGAGATTTTCCTTTTCTCGCCTTCTTCCTCTTGCCCCCACTTAGGACACTGTTTCTACCAATGAAGGTCTGCACCTGAAAAGGACAGACTTGAACCCACATGTCCTTGACTTCAAACCCAGCACCATGGCCACTCCTGGGTCACACTGACCCATGTGAATTTTGGAGCCAGGAAGACCTAGGTTCAAGTGCCTTCTCTGACAGATACTGTGTGACCCCAAGCAAATCTTTTAACCCCTTTAAGGTTAATTCCTCATCTGTAAAATTAGTGGGTTGGGCTCACTAATCTCTAGGGTTTCTTCCAACACTAAATTTATTATCACACTTTTTAGTTTTATTGACCTATGTTCATATCGTGGCCCCTGTGCATGAATAGAAGGTAAAGTGTCATGTCCTCCACTGTCCCGTATTATTTTCTCCATCTTCTGGCCCCACTCACTGATGGGTCCCCCACACTTCCTTCCCCTTGAACCACTGCCAGGTTGTACTATAAATTTCTGTCTCTCAGCTGAAGCTTCCCTTTGCACAGCTCAGGTAGTTCTGACTGAAAACCTCCAGTGGAAGCAGTAGCAGCAGCAGTAGTAGTAGTGGTGGTGGTAGTAGTAGTAGTAGTAGTAGTAGTAGTAGTAGTAGTAGTAGTAGTAG